CATTGACCCACTTGTCATACTCATTGCACACCCGCATAAAAACAGAACCAACCACCCAGTTTCGAACGGCTACTGTCTGTGATTCTATGCTCTATGGACATCATGCTGTTCAGGTGGGCACCCTGTGCCTATTTTTCAAAGAGCAAAATTGTCCCATCACATTTCTCCAGGAAACAAGGCAAGTAATCCCTGCTTGTGTTCAAAGCCCTGTGCCCTCAGTTCATCAAACCAGCAAACCTCATTGTTTTGGTCTTTAAGTGCTATTTACTCAGATGGTTCCTGGACACACATTTCAATGACTGAATGCAATTTGGAATAACATGGGCTTCTTAAAAGCCCCCAAAATACTTCGCCCCTAATTTGAGATACTACTTGGGCTCTTATTCAACCCAAACTCTAAGGGACACTACCGTCAGCCAGCTGCCTAACAATGGAAACTTTGAGCGGTGCCTGAAAAGGGATTCAGTTGGTCTGGAAATTACCTTGCTCCTCAGGATCACTGCAGCAGAACACACAGCTGTGATCACAGGTCTGATGAGCACTTCAACCTGCACTCCTTGCATCATTAGCAACCCTTGGGTTGCCAGTAAAGATGTGTTAAGACAGAAATTCACCTGTGACTCAAATAATTCAAAATAACTGAATTCATTTGCCCCATAAATTAATGTACATGTCATCAACTGATATGACATTCTTCTTTCTTTTTTTCCTTTCTGTCTTCATCGTATCTGTTGTTCATCATATCTCGGCGTGATAGGACGCTCCTAAGGAGCTAGCATTCCGTTCACCACTGCTTGACGCAGTTGACACTTACAGAATGAATATGCGATCTGGGTTCTGCCCTCACAAAATCAACAGGGTGAAGACACTCAGTGAAGCCGGAATCCGAACGAAGCTCCAACTACAGAAGTACTCTCTTGGCTTCCTTACTGCCACGGAATCGATGCCGACTCATAGGCACCCTATAGGACAGGTAGAACTGCCTCTGTGGGTTTGTCAGACTGGAACACTTTACAGGAGTAGAAAGCTTCATCTTCTCCTGAAGAGCAGCTTGTGGTTTCGAACTGCTGACCATGAGGTTAGCAACCCCAACACGCAACTCACCGCACCACTGGGGCTCCCTTGGTTTTATTATTAGATGTTAAATTCAATAACAGGGCAACTAACATAGGTTACAATGTAGGAGCTTTTCATTTTTCAAATCTCTAAAGGGAAGGCCCTCAACAACAGTGTGGTAGATATATAATCGTTTGCCAATTTGAGGATTAAGAGTGTAGGGGTGGAGTCCAGCTTGTCAATCAGATCACAGGCCAGTGAGGCCTCTGTGTGGGCATGGCCTTCTCCTGAGAATTCTGGGAAATACAGTACACTTCCTCCTTGAAGGCGGGAGACACTTCTCTTTCTGACACTCCCTGGGAGACACGGCAGCTGACAAGACACATGGACCCACTCTGATGCAGAGACCCCTGCCAGCACTGAGATGTTTCCAATGCCACTGGATCCAAAGACTTTCTATCCACTGGCCTATGATCTTCTACATTCAGCATCATTGCATGTGTTTCATGAGTCTGAAGAGGACTTTATAGATTGGTATCAGACATATGGGCTAATATTGGACTTATGGACTTGACCTGAACTGGGCTGGGATGTTTTCTCAATGTTCAATTGCTCTTACATATAAATCTTTCTTATACACATATGTGTGTCCATGGATTTGTTTCTCTGGTCTACCCAGACTAACACAATCAGTGACTGCTTCAATGTGCCCAAGTATAGCACCAATCAGTGACTGCTTCAATGTGCCCAAGTATAGCACCAACAGATGGCCTAGGCCCAGGCATTGTTGCATTCTGATATACAGAGGGAGGTTCGCTATGGCTTGGAACTGACGATGGCATGTAAAAATAACAAATTAAAGATATACTATACAGCCATCTTCCTTTGGTCACATGGATTCTTCCATGTGGATCATTCATGCCGCAACAGAGGACAATACTGGGGACCCAGGGCAGATCAACGACAGGAGCAAAGAAAAGCCACAAAGCCCCTGAAAAGTCCCCAAAATAGACTTAAGCTAGGAAAGGCAGTTCCCAGGATGTCCCCAGGATCAGTGGGGAGACAGTCATAAAGAAGAGGGAGAGAAGGACCAAGGCTCGACCCAGTGTGCCAAGACATGAATACAACATAATCTGCATAAAGCAGGGAACCAATAGAGATCCTCCCCCACCCACACCCACGAAGAATGCACTGCAGAGGATGGCACTGAAACTACAGCTCAGGGAGAGGGCAACATCTGATCATAATACACAGGAGCAAATTAAGAGGGAAGGAGAGAGTGGAACACATCCTGGCCCAGCAAGCCCTGAGAACAATATTCCTGCTCAGAGTAGCCAATGCACAGAGAGGACCATAGGGCAAGCCCCACAATGAGACACGATGTCCCTTACTGACCAATAGCACTATGAGGGACAACACAGGAGGTACAGTGTGGGAACTGTGCCCAATCTGAGCCCACCACACCGGGTTGAAACACTAAGGGTATGCAACAGAGCAGCAAGGGGAGCAAAGCAATGAAGTCCCTGAGGAATCCCAAAACTAGATTTTAGGGGCAGGGCATGGCACCTCATCATACTCCACCAGCAAACACTCATAAAGGTCAACAAACAGACCTGGAATTATTTATAGGCTGTGGGGGGAGGTCATCCTTGCAGGCATCCTCCCTGAGGGCGATCAGCTACCAGACTTCAGTGGGCCCCTCCCTGCTGTTAAAGACAATGGACAGGGTTGCAGTCATCTATTTGGTTCCTGTAGGTGGGGTTTACACCCTATTGATAATGGTTCCTATGGAGATCCAGAGAACAGGTCAAAGTTAAGCTGCCATCCTAAATCTAGGATCCGCCCATCTTGTCACGTGTATACCCCCAATCCCTCCTCTTCCTATTGCGTGTATGTCCCTAGACCACCCCCTCTCATTGCTGTATAACCTATGTGCAAACCCTTCCTGTGACATATGTCTTTACCTGTAATTAGTAGGCGTGCACACCCCCAAAGCTGTATAGGCCTGGGTTAGCAATAGAGAGCTCTCTCTCCACCTCTTTCCCTCTCTCAGCTCCTCCTCTCCTCTCCCATCCTTGCTCCCTTGTTC